AAGAAAAAAAGCCTTTCAAAATCTCCCACAATATATAGTAGAGCCATAGAGATGTGTTGCTTAAAAAAAAAAATAAAAAAAAAAAAAGAAATTGTCAATGACATTTACAATCAATGTTAAATATTTTTTTCCTTTGTAAATGTCAGTGCTGCTGCAGCACATTCTGTACTGCACAGATACGTGTCCCGTCACAGGCAGGATTAGGACATCCCCCAGGCATGTAGTTAAACCAGTCCATCTCTAGAGCATTTTTTTCACTTGTTGCAAATATATAAAATCTATATTATTTTTCCTCAAAATTACTTGAAACTCCAACAACAGTATATATTTTTTTCCAAAAGCGGAGGCCATTTAGAATACCAGATGGTAGTTGCAATTTTGTAATGATATTTGTGCAAATGTTTTTCAAACACATATTTTAAGGAAAAAAAATTAAATAAAATACATTTTAGTGCAAATGTACATAATATAATTTGCAAAATATAAAAGATGAGGTTATGTCAAAAAATAGACACCAAACATGTCAAGTCTTAAAATTTCATGTGTCCGTAATTTTTGGAGAAATATGGTAAATAAAAATTTCCGTCCCTGTGTGGTAAACCCAAACATAGCGTCCCACGACACTTTTCTGAAATTCATAATAAATCCATCCATGATCTCCAAGTATGGATTGATTCCATACCTGATATATATTCTACAGCTGAATGTTTTCAGCGAATATGCAGGCAAGAATCTTTTTGGATATATACCCTAGATACACTGGCCCCCAGGGGGTTAAATAAGGAAATTGAGGTCCATACCATGTTATGATTCTTTGTTTATTTGTGCCCACTTGTACCTTCATTTATTCATATACCTGTATAAAGCTCCAACTTACTGGCACTGCATTTATCTTATGCATTATATATATATACATATATATATATATATATATATTCTTCTGTGAATAGCCAATCTCAGTCGACATTGTACTATATACTATATATTATTATGGTCTTTGAAACTGCCAAAGTAGTATATTATCTGCCACTCACCAATGTTTATATATGTCTGCCGCAGTTCATGTCTCTTGATCAGTGACTGTAATTATTTTTTTTTAAATTTGTCATTATTACTGTGCACTATATACATTGCTGTTTCCCAAGCACGTCTGCCGAGCTGTGTTGCTAACTCTGCCTCCAGCTCACCACTGTCCATCTATCCGCATAGTCCGCCCTGTCCGGTCCTACTCCTTTAAGAGAGTGACATCCCCAACATCCAATCAGGTCTGAAGAAGAAGGAGGTGCTTTGAAATGAGTCACCTAACCCATCCTTGCCTTCCATTGGTTGCCCGCCTGGTCTGGACTTCTGTGTGCTCTATACTGGTTATGGCGCTGTTCTCCAACAGCTGACAACTGACGGCTGCCATCCCTCTCTATCCCAAGGGACCAGGGCTCTGACTGTCACCATCGGCCCTCCACTGGCCAAGCTGAGGACTGACATACTTGCTTATCATTCTCCTACCTTTGTGAGTAGCTATAGGCTATTGTTTTTGTAATAATTTATTTTAATCCTCTGTATTTAGGTTGACATTCCCTTGTGTCCTTTTATATTTCCTACAGAGTATTGCTTTGCTCTAAGGGGAGCTGCCATTGCTAGTGCCTCCAATATGGACTCAATGGACCTTATGGACTTCATGTGATATTTTTACCTTTTATACATTTTTACATGGTTTATTGTTGTCCTATTATTGCTACATTTGTTTATCCAGTTTTATCTTATCACAAGAGTTCCCTCTCAGTGCCAATTATCCTACTGGCTATTCCTGGTATGTGCCTGCTGTACCACTTACTTGTATGAAAAAGTGTCATGTTCTCTTTGTATTGCTGTGTGAAATACCTGGTGTTCCTGCCAACCTGTCTGCTTTCCTATTGAAAACTGACCACACTAGGAAGGAGAACACAGCTTTGTCATTTCCCTCAGTCTGCTTTCCTCCAATGATCAGATTTGTCCTGACACATCCCCCTGCCCAGCCTTTCAATGTGCTGCTGTTTCTCCTCCCTGAGCACTTAAAGCAGCTGAGGACAGAGGGAATGTGATCACTTATACAAAAAGGAAAAAAAAGGAAAAAAAAAAAAATATAATTTTTTTTGTATAAGTGTTTTGCATATCATTTCTATTTTAAACTGAATTGGTTGCTTTACTAGGTAAGGATTAACCTATTCTTTAACTGTGATCTATGGCACTAGAATTGTTGCTCTCAGTCTGATGTTTGTGTGATACACATGTGATGAAATCCTAGTTTACAGTGTACCCTGTACTGAATTTGAATTTGTGGATGTGTGCAGGGCAACAAGAGTATTGTTTATTTTTTGTTTTTTTTTAAATACATTTTATTACACAATAATTTTTTTTTTTGTTTAAATTTAACTTTATTGCTATCACAAGGGGTTTAACAAGCCACAAGCTCCATGTGATAGCATTGAGCAGATGACTGGAACTCTCTATGGAGGCATTGGGGTATGTTAGATTCCCAATATTTCCCTTGTCCTTCAAAGTAGCTAACCAAGCACAGATCATATTTTGTTAACTGCTTCCCTGGTTGCATCAGCCAGGAAATGACAGCTCTGAAACCGGAAGTGTTAAAATCATTGTTGCTTCTATCTTCATTCACTGTATAGGTGATCAAGGAACACATATTAACAATTGCGGTCGCACATACCAAAATGGCCAACTCTCTGATCCACAGACATGGCAGCGTGACATCGACAAGTAGAGTTCATCCAACACGTTTCGTGCGCATGCACGTCCTCAGGGGCACACCCATGGGATCCGTGGATCGAATCGGTGTCCATTTTGGTATGTGTGACCACGATTGTTAACTTTCTTCCACGTGGAATATTTCTTTTACATGTAATGTTTTTATGAGCTGTGAGCATCTTTTTCCAAGGTCCAAGCCGGGTCTGAAACAGCGCTATAGAGTGGATAATCAGGATCCCTTAATGAGGAGGTATATGCTACTGACCAAGTAGCTTTCTGGTGAGTGCATGGTGGTAGAGGACCCTGCACTGGAGAGGAGCACTTGGTGGGATTGAACACAGTTTGTTTTGGTTGGCACTGCAATCATACAAATTTACACTGGAAGAATTGTTTTTTTATATATATATAATATATATATATATATATATATATATATATATATATATTTATGCTTTTGCACTTTTGGAAAACATTTATTTGCATGTTTTTTACTCATTGATTTGGAATATGGGTTTGGTATACATGTCTGGATAGACACTTTATGCGCTGCACTGGTTTGTTATTTATATATGTACTTAGACTTGTCACATTCTTTTAGTGCAAGTTGCTCCTAACTCTGTAGCGCTCACCATTTACTTTTATCTGTATAGTTATAGGACAATTTTCAATATTGGTCAATTGTTCTTAAGGCTATTTTCTCTAAGGAAATATTTAGAGAATGTTACATTCACCATTCAAAAAGACAACAATTACAGACTGACACTTCACACATATTACAAATGCTACGGGTATTATTTGTGACAGTTTGTTTTATAAAAAAGACAGTGCTTGCTGATCAATTCCAAAAAGACTAAAATCTGGGATTTTCTGTTACTACTACTGCAGAGGGTACTTAACAAGCAGTCTGATACATTTGCAATTGTTGCTGGTTGTTCTCCAATTGCCTTACCTCCCATTTTATTTCATATAAATAATGAAGTAATGAAGTGTGATCAAGGATAAGGAAACTGGATTCTAGTGAATGTTTTTCAGCATATAAAATCATTTTAACTGCTTTGACAAGGGGGATTATTTATTGTACTCTTCTAAATGTTACAATCAGCTAGGTATCCACAATCAGGCTGGATGTTTCATATCATTTATCATTATATCAGAATAATTCAATGCGGTTCATCATCTGACCATCCAGGTTTTGTGCTCATCTATTTTCTTTTTCTCTGCATCTTGAATTAACACTAACATGTATGGGACATCATCTTTATCAGTGTTTCTCTCCACTTTTTCCAGTCGGGGCACCCTTGAAAAGTATTTTCAGTCATAAGGCACCCCTGTCCAAGGCCTGGTTCACGTTACTGTGTGTCGCAGAACGCACACAAAAAATCACGCTCATTCTTGATATGCAGACAAATGCTCTGCTCTTTAGGGGTTCCCCAAACATTGGCAAACACTGGGTGTTTTTGGTGTGGTGCAATTTTAAAAACTAAGTTCAGTGACGACTTTCCCTGCATTTCTGCAGGTAAGGCAGCCCATTGAAATGAATGGATTGCCCTACAAACAGCCACACAGATGTGAAGTAAGGGCCTGTTCACCTGTGAGGTTGGAGGACATTAAAACCACGCAATTAAGCTGCTTTTACTACCTCCTACTGCAGAAACAGCAGCTGGGGAAATACACATGTTGTTGCCGCAGTTGGAAGTATACCTCCAGGCAGGGGCGGACTGACTATTTGGAAAACTCAGGCACTGCCCGAGGGCCCGGGGTCAGTAGGGGGCCCCATGAGATGCCCCTGGTACCTTTTTTATAGGCTTTTTTGAGTTTTTGAGTTTGGGCAAGGACACATGGGCCCCATGATCCCCTATTGCCCGGGGGCCCCATGAGTTGTCAGTCTGCCCCTGCCTCCAGGTGAATGGGGTTGAACTACAACCACTCTGCACATTACACGCAGTTGTGGTGTGGTGATTGATGGTGCTTTTTAAACCAGGTGGTGAGGAGGCAACATATTGCCTCTTTACCACCTATCAAATGCCTCTGCAATCTGAGCATGGATTGCTTTTGAGAGGAGCAGCAGTCCTTGCTGCTATTACAAACAAGTCCTAAAAAAGCAGTTCTGAAAGGACCGGAATAGGGGTCAAGATTAAAAGTAAAATACATATACACACATATAAAAACAAACACACATACAAACACATATACACACACACATACGTACACACACACACACACACATACACAAATGTATACACACACACACATGTACACACCACACAGGGGCGGACTGAAAACTCATTGGGCCCTGGGTGATAGGGGATCATGGGGCCCCTGTGTCCTTGCCCAAACTCAAAAAAGCCTATGAAAAAGGTACAAGGGGCATCTCATGGGGCCCCCTACTGACCCCGGGCCCTCGGGCAGTGCCTGAGTTTCCAGATTGTCAGTCCGCCCCTGCACACACACATACACATGTACACGCACACACACACACACACACACGTATACAGCCCTATAAAAAGTTAAAGTACCTTAGCTTCCATCACACACTCTAGGGGGAGGCAGAGAGCACAGAAGACACTTCACTTTGCTTTCACTTTGCTCAGCTGTGTGACGGCTCCCAGTGCTAATGTACAGTGCAGCTGGGGATAGGGAGCTCGGGCTCAAGTGACAGCCAAAAAAGGCTGATCTATAACATAAAACTTATTACATTTAACTCCTCCGTCCTTTAAGGCCTTATGCACACAGGAAGTTTTTTACTGCCTCTGAGGGTTGTCAGGTTTTTCATTCCTGCTTTCAAACATCCCTCCGTGTTAGCCTATGTGTCCATGCACTCATAGACTTTTAGGAGTTTTTAATGGCAGGAGAGATTAGAAGCAAGAAAGAAACTCCACTGTCAGTGTGTTCAGGAGCAGCAGCAGCGTTTTGGCAGAAAAAAATGCTTGATGTTTGTAAATGTGTGTTAATTCCAGGCAAGTTTTGTACTACAGTGCTAATTCATTAAAATGGCCAGAACAAGGCTGGGTTCACACTTGTGTGGTACGGTATATTGCATGTGATTCGCACAGGAATCGCACTGCACTCCTGTGCAAATCACATGCGAATTGTGTGCGGTGCCATTGGAGCCATACATTTTGTATGGCTCCAAAAAGGTGCAAGACCCTTTTTCTGGTCCGCATTAGAATTGGATCACATGGGTATTCCCACCCATGCGATCCAATTCTGCACATCACACTGCGGTTTTCAGACCAATTTCGGGGTGTTGTTAACTTAACATACACACCTGCAGTGGTTCGCATGAACGGGGCGCGATTATGATGCGGTGCGGAATTTGCACAGAAAACGCTGCAAATTCCGCACCACATCAGTATAAACCCAGGTTCAATTATTAATGTGGCCCATGAAACAAATTAACGCCTAAGAGATTGACTCCTGTAAACGCACGTAAAACCTTGTAAAAGCATTAGACCCTATTACAAGTGGTAGGTGTTTTTTTTTCTGCAAAAACTCTGCTGCCAGGAGGAAAGCTTCTAAGAGAGTTAAAAAAAAGAGTGCATGAGGCCTAAATCTGCTTCTTTTTCTCATGGCTGTCCTTGACCAGATCACATTGTGTATCTCTATACAAACCATTTTTGTATTATAACTAATGAGAAAGAATTTTCACTTGCGTTTTGCATGTAACTTAAATAGTGTAAACTAGTAAAGTGTGCCTGTTCTTTAGAAATGGCTGGCTGGTGTTTAGTCTATGTGTTGATATGAAAGGAAAGTCCATGCTACTTCTTTCTAAGATACCATCATAACAACGGCTGGATATGCAAGTGGAACATTTTTGGAGATCTCCCAACATTACATCTATCAACTTTTGAATTTCCTATTAATGTTAAGGATACATTAAGATGTGCCATATTGATTTGAAAGATCCTAGTCTCTCATTTGATCCATTGCTATATGAACAATTGATGGCATTTGAGGATTTGACTCTTTTCCTGGTGCAGACTGGGATTGCCTGATCGGTTCTAAATTATATGGAACGTGTTCATTTCTCCTCATTGGTTTCCATTGGCCTCCCCACAGCCCGGACAGATGTGATGACACTCCTTTATGTGTTTTTTCTCATGCTTAATCCTTGTTTCTAATCAACCAAAAAATTACATGTTTAATATGTCATATGGGAATACGAGGTCCTGAAGAAGTGGTGTCTGACTGCAAAACATGTTGATAGTGTAACCTAAGAATTACTGCTTTTATATACAGTACATATTACGTCTTTACTGTGTATATGGTCATATGATTCACATTGATTGTAAACCCTTTTTGTATGGGTACATATTTTTTATGAGAATTTATTAAATATACTTTTTGATATTTTTTATATATTTGTATTTTTGATTATTCATTGAGAGGCCACCTTGGACCATCCATTTCTCGTAGTCTCTATCCTGTAAGCCTTTTCTGTGGAACACACCCATTAAATATTTGCAGAAAGAGTAATTGAACCTTTGGGGTTAATAGCTGCCAAAACGTCTTTAGCAGCAATGACTTAAAGCAAATTATTATACAGGAGGAATTTTTGACCATTCTTTCTTACAAAACAGCTTCAGTTCAAACACATTTTTAGGATGTCTGGTGTGAACAGCTCTCTTGAAGTCATTCCAAAGCATTTCTATTTGGTTACAGCTGAGCTCTGACAGAGTCATTCCAAAAGGTGCATTTTCTTTTTCTGTAGCCAGCCTGTGGTGGATTTATTTTGATGCTTAGGGTCATTGTTCTGCCACAATACCCAACTTCTACTAAGCTTCAGCTGGCAGACAGCCACCTTGACATTATCCTGTAGAGTATTTTGGTAATGAATTAATTAATTAATTTTCCCTTTGATGATAGCAAGTGGTCCAGGCCCTGAGGCAACAAAGCAAGCCCAAAAAGCATGATGCTCCCTACACAGTTGGGATCATGTTTTGATGTTTGTAAGCTGTACCATTTTTGCTCCATACATAGTGCTGAGTATTCTTCCCAAACAATTCAACTTTTGTTTCATCAGTCCACAAAACAGTTTCCCAGTAGGGTTGTGGTTTGCCAAGGTACTCTTTGGAAAACTTCAGACTTGCAGCAATTTTTTTTTTTGGAGTGTAGTGGCTTCCTTCACGGTGTTCTACTATGGATACCTTGCCCGTTTGTATGGTAGACTCATGAAAAAGGGATGTTTGCCAGATCTAGTGATGTCTTGAGGCCTTCAGCTATTAGTTGTGGGTTCTTCTTTACTTCATTGAGGATTCTGCATTGTGCCTTGAGAGTCATCTTGGTTGGGTACTCACTTCTAGGAAAAGTAGCCACAGTATTAACCACTTGCTAGCCGTGCTATAGCCAAATGACGGCTACAGTGCAGTTACCCAGTTCTGGGCATGCACCCGGCGATCTCCGTGATTGCTCTGTCCTACACAGCTGATCTCGTGATGAGGTAAAAGGCTAATCACGGCGGTCTTTTATCACGTGATCAGCTGTATCCAATGACACAGCAGATCACGGAGTAAATACAGTTGCCGGTTATCGGCAGCACTTTCCTCACGCTGTCATAGCATGAGGAAAGTACTGCCAATAACCGGCAGCTGTCACAGAGTAAATGCCACAATGATGATCAGTGCCCTGCAGTGCCACCCACCAGTGCCCAGCAGTGCCACCCACCAGTGCCCAGTAATGCCTAGCACCAGTGCCCATCAGTGCTCAGCAGTGCCACCCATCAGTGCCACCCATCAGTGCTGCCCAGCAGGGGCGTCCATCAGTGCCCATCAGTGGCGCCTATCAGTGCCCATCAGTGGAGACCATCAATGCCCAGCAATGCCACCAGTCAGTGCCATCAGTCAGTGCTGCCGGTCAGCGCCACCCATCAGTGTCGCCCATCAGTGCCCATCAGTGCTGCCTTTCAGTGTCCATCAGTGCCACCTATCAGTGACCATCATTGTTGCATATCAGTGCAGCATCATCAGTGCCACCTCATCAGTGCCACCGCATCAGTGAATCCTATCAGTGCCCATCAGTGCTGCCTGTCCATGGCACCTCATCAGTGTTCATCAGTACTGCCTATTAGTGCAGCCTCATCAACGCACATCAGTGAAGGAGAAAAATTACCTGTTTGCAAAATGTTATAATAGAAACAATGAAAAACTTTTTGCTCTTTTTTTGTTTATAGTGCAAAAAATAAAACACCCAGTAGCAATTAAATACCAACAAAAGAAAGCTCTATTTGTGTGAAAAAAATAATAAAAATTTCATAGGGGTACAGTGTTACAGGACTGCGCAATTGTCATTGAAAGTGCGACACCACTGAAAGCTGAAAATTGGCCTGGGCACGAAGGGGGTAAAAGTGCCCGGTAGGCAAGTGGTTAACCACTTCAATACCGGACACGTTTGCCCCCTTCCTGCCCAGGCCAATTTTCAGATTTCATTGCTGTCACACTTTAAATGACAATTACTTGGGCATGCAAAACTGCAACCAAAATAAACTTTTTACATTTTTGAGACAGATAGAGCTTTCTTTTGGGGGTAGTTAATCACCACCGGGTTTTTAATTTATTGCTATATACTGTAAATGAAAACATATTGAATGTTTTGAAAAAAACATTTTGTTTTACAATTTTGCAAATAATTAATCTTTCTTCATAAATTTAAGCAACAATGTATTCTGCTGTTTTCCTTTGGTAAAAACCAACCCACATTAGTGCATTTTGGTTACTTTGTGTGAAATGTATAGAGTTTACAAGCTACAGTATATATACAGTATTTGAAAATCAACTGACTGCCTACCTCATTTCTTGAGGCCCTAAAAATTCCAGTATAGTATAAATATCACCCAAATGACCCCTTTTGGACAGTAGACTCCTCAAAGCATTTAGTAAGAGGTGTAGTGAACTTTTTGAAGTTGTAATTGTTTTTCCAACAGTTCTTTGGAAAAACAATTACAATAAAAAAAAAAAAAAATTAGTATTTTTTTTCCACAAAATTGTCATTTTAACAAGTTATTTATCACACATGGCATAGGCATACATGCAAATATACCCCAAAACACATTCTGCTACTCCTTACAAATAAGGGGGTACCACATGTTTGAGACTTTTTTTTACAGCCTAGATGCATAGAGGGGTCCAAAATCCAAGGAGCACCTTTGGGCTTTCAATGAGCATACATTATGCCTAAAATATTGGTCTAATTTCAAGCAAACACCCCAAGATATTTCCTGTGAGGCATAATGAGTCTTTTGAAAATGTCAATTTTTGCACAAGCTTTTGGAAAATATAAAAAGAAAATGAAAACGTATTTTTTTTTTTTTGTCAAGTTATAAGATATTTCTAGCACACAGCATGGACATAGTAAAAATTACACACCAAAATACATTCTGCTACTCTTCCTGAGTATGGCATTCCATGGGTTTGTGCTCAGAATCCAAATCAGACAGTGAGATCTCC